TTCTCCAAGCTGCTTCTTGTCTTCTCCAAGTTGCTCGAGTCTCCTGACAAGGGCGGTCTTCATCGTGGGATCCTGTTCATATCTGATCTCATGCAGTACATCCTGGATGTTTTTTTCCACCTCAGTCTCGGCAGACTGCCTACTCACATTCATTCCAGAGTAGCACACCCGCCGCCTCTTGCTCGCCCCTTTGTTTCTTTCCTTGACTCCACTCGAGATATTACCTCGTCCTCCCTCCCTAGCATCCCCTCCTCGTATGCGCAAGCAGCTTCCCCCCAAAGCCATCCTCAGATTGTAGTCAGCACATCGCCCAGGACATGGAAATGACGCTCCCTGTTACAAGCACAGCTCAGAAAAACCTTCCCTCCAACCCTCAGGTCGCTCCTCACCACCGCGCTCGAGATGATGATGGAGCTCAAGCCTATCAAGCCTACAGCCCTGCCCATAGCCCTCGCTCCTCTCCCTCTTGCTTCTCTCTGCGGGCTGCGCATCTTGACCTCAGCAAGCGGCTCCTTGTCAGCCTTGCCGACTCCTGCTCTGCCATCCAGCGCACCCGCGAGGGGGTATTCGGTACTCGCTAGGGGTCGTCAGAGGGGGTAGGGTACTTGAGCCATGTATGTTACAAGTAGAGGAGAGACGAATGCTCGTATGATCAGAACGTGTAGCTGATGAGCGTGATACTTTTACTCTTCAGGTCCCTCATGCGTCATCGTTGATGGCTTTCATCGCTGACAAGATCATAGCATGGGCAAGAGCTGCTTGTTGCTAGACCTCAGCCATGGCGGAGTGAGATGGCGACGGGATGCAGCAGAGAGTCATGAGTCGCTCTTAGTTATCGAATGATGCAACGAGGAGACCCATGTAACCTGTAAGCTGCATGGTTGGACTCTGCACTCTTTAGTCCCGCATCTGATGTTGAGGGGCAGATGAAGACAGATGGTTGCAGTGTTGGATGATGACATGCAGTGTTGGATGATGACATGCAACGTTGTGGTCGTCGATGGTCCCCTCCTATAGTTGCTCACGCCCTCTGAAAGAACACACCATGAGGATGCAAATGTGATGGACCGGTTTTGAAGATGATGGACCGGTATTGAAGATGATGGACTGGTTTTGAAGTTGCTACATCTGCTTCAACATTATGGGCAAGGAAGCGAGTAAAATGCTGCTTCAGGCTGCTGCCAAGCATTTGAGACTGAGCCCTCACACACACAATCACCTTGTTTTGAAGAAGAGTGAGACAGGTAAATAGGTCAAGGCAACCTTTTTGGACACTGCAGAAAGCTTCTTTCTTCATTACTTCACCTTGCTTCAACAAGGAGATCAGAGGAAATCGCATCGTGATGGCTTTTGAAAGTTGCACATGGCGATGGAAACACTTGGAAATCAAGTAAGCGCAAGTAGTTGTATGAGCGTATTACACGTTGCACCACCTCCCATCATGACACGGTTGATCAAGTACAACATGAAAGTGATCAACTAGGTTGCCTTTCAACCTCTACACACTACCCCTGCAAGTCTGTTCCACAGCATGTCGATCTCATCCTGCAGATATCAGCCTGATCGTCTTCCCAGCCCCTTGACGACCAGCCGCCGCTTCTTGTCGGATCTTTGCCTCGCCTACCACACGCCTCCCCGGCTCATCCTTGCTAACGCCGGTTTGAGCTCACGCGATATCCATACCCGCTACCTCTGCCTGCCTCCCTTCCTGCCCTCCCTTCCATCCGTACTCCTCCAGCGCACCGCAGCCCTTGATTTTGCCTATCCGAAAGCTCTCGAGCCTGTCTCGCGGCACCATGAACACCACCCTCACCTTCCATCCAGCTGCTGGGATGCCTAGCCCCGTGAGAGCCTCTGCGAAGAAAGCCAGCTTGAAAGAGTGGACGTCTGCCTCTGTCACCTGCACAAACTCTACTAACTTCCCGCGAGGCTCTACTATGATAGCGTCGTAGCCTCCTTGAAGGGGGTTGACGGGCTTCAAGCAAGTTCTCTCTGCAGGAAGCGTTTGCATGCCTCCCTTTGCATCAAAGGTGATGACTGGACATCCCTCCCATTGCGTGAGCTCTTGAGATCCCCGATACCTCAGGCTCAGCCCGCACTTGATCTTCTTGAAAAAGAAAAGCTCGAAAAGATGGCCCCTTGTAGTCGGATTGCTTGCCCCGTACCTTGAGAACAGCCTCTTCAGCGTGTCTAGTTCTGCCGCTTCTGCAAGCTTCGTCGCGACATACTTGCTCACAGGCATCCAGTTCGATTCCCCGTTGTACTTGAAGCACGCAATCAAGTGGTTTACCGCCTGCGGTGATGAGTCGCCCACGATGCCACTGAAGACGACTTCTAGGTTTGAACAGAAACTCAAAGCTTCATCCAGCCTCTCTTTCACCAATGATGCGGGCGTCTCGAACATGTACCGACATGAGCCGCCTGCCAGGTAGTATTTCAGCTTGATCTTCTCTCGTCTAGACCTGTTCCTCTTCCATGTCTTCAAGCCCATGCTCGCCGCACTTTCATCCTCCTCCAGCATGCATGCTACACGCTGATAGAAAACGTCCCACTCCACTGCTTCCAGGTACTCTCTCTCCGTCCAAGATACAACGGTGTGTTGTTGGAGATTCACTTCATCGTCTTCAGGGTCATTCTTCTTTCCTCGAGAAGACATCGATGTCGCTACTACAACCCGTCGATTCTCTCGATCAGCTAGCAGCCATTTCCTACATGCGTCCAAAAAGTCTACGTGGTGTGACTCATGCCTCAAGAACCCGTCCAGGACCACCAAACCCTTCTTGTAGTCCTGCCATTCTTCCAGCATTCTGTTGATCCCTTCCCATGAGGAGCGCTTGGGAATCCTGCACCATCTCCTCCTACCACCGACGATTCGGATGCAATCAACGTCGTTGGATATATGCAGCCTGATGAGCGTTACGCTCCATTCCCTCATGTCAAGAGACAAGCAGAAGGCTAGCGTCGTCGTCGTCTTCCCCGTTCCCGGCGGGCCTTTGATCCAGCCAAAAGCTCGCTGCTCCACCACCTTCTCCCTCAAGAAGCAGAGCTGACTCTTGAAAGCTTCCCGGCAGTAGAGAAGGAGCTCTCCGTCTCTTTGTAGGTAGGATGCATCGAGACGAAAGTACTTGTCGTCGTTGCAAAAGCCCATCCGATCCAGTCTTGCATCTGACTCGTTCCAAGCAATCGGTGGCACATGGGGTCCGGTGCTCTGTCTCAAAAGGATAAGTTCTTTTTCTCCAAGCTGCTTCTTGTCTTCTCCAAGTTGCTCGAGTCTCCTGACAAGGGCGGTCTTCATCGTGGGATCCTGTTCATATCTGATCTCATGCAGTACATCCTGGATGTTTTTTTCCACAAGCTTCATCTTTGCTTCTACCCCCTTGATATCTGCTTCCACAAGCTCGATCTCTCCTTCTACCTCAGTCTCGGCAGACTGCCTACTCACATTCATTCCAGAGTAGCACACCCGCCGCCTCTTGCTCGCCCCTTTGTTTCTTTCCTTGACTCCACTCGAGATATTACCTCGTCCTCCCTCCCTAGCATCCCCTCCTCGTATGCGCAAGCAGCTTCCCCCCAAAGCCATCCTCAGATTGTAGTCAGCACATCGCCCAGGACATGGAAATGACGCTCCCTGTTACAAGCACAGCTCAGAAAAACCTTCCCTCCAACCCTCAGGTCGCTCCTCACCACCGCGCTCGAGATGATGATGGAGCTCAAGCCTATCAAGCCTACAGCCCTGCCCATAGCCCTCGCTCCTCTCCCTCTTGCTTCTCTCTGCGGGCTGCGCATCTTGACCTCAGCAAGCGGCTCCTTGTCAGCCTTGCCGACCTGCTCTGCCATCCAGCGCACCCGCGAGGGGGTATTCGGTACTCGCTAGGGGTCGTCAGAGGGGGTAGGGTACTTGAGCCATCTCCGTATGGCGCGCCGCGAGGGTCGACGGAGGTTGTGGACTTGAAGCTGGGTAGCAACATTTATGTTACAAGTAGAGGAGAGACGAATGCTCGTATGATCAGAACGTGTAGCTGATGAGCGTGATACTTTTACTCTTCAGGTCCCTCATGCGTCATCGTTGATGGCTTTCATCGCTGACAAGATCATAGCATGGGCAAGAGCTGCTTGTTGCTAGACCTCAGCCATGGCGGAGTGAGATGGCGACGGGATGCAGCAGAGAGTCATGAGTCGCTCTTAGTTATCGAATGATGCAACGAGGAGACCCATGTAACCTGTAAGCTGCATGGTTGGACTCTGCACTCTTTAGTCCCGCATCTGATGTTGAGGGGCAGATGAAGACAGATGGTTGCAGTGTTGGATGATGACATGCAACGTTGTGGTCGTCGATGGTCCCCTCCTATAGTTGCTCACGCCCTCTGAAAGAACTGTGTGCCAGGAGGCACCAGACACCATGAGGATTCAAATGTTATGGACTGGTTTTGAAGATGATGGACCGGTTTTGAAGTTGCTACATCTGCTTCAACATTATGGGCAAGGAAGCGAGTAAAATGCTGCTTCAGGCTGCTGCCAAGCATTTGAGACTGAGCCCTCACACACACAATCACCTTGTTTTGAAGAAGAGTGAGACAGGTAAATAGGTCAAGGCAACCTTTTTGGACACTGCAGAAAGCTTCTTTCTTCATTACTTCACCTTGCTTCAACAAGGAGATCAGAGGAAATCGCATCGTGATGGCTTTTGAAAGTTGCACATGGCGATGGAAACACTTGGAAATCAAGTAAGCGCAAGTAGTTGTATGAGCGTATTACACGTTGCACTACCTCCCATCATGACACGGTTGATCAAGTACAACATGAAAGTGATCAACTAGGTTGCCTTTCAACCTCTACACACGACCCCTGCAAGTCTGTTCCACAGCATGTCGATCTCATCCTGCAGATATCAGCCTGATCGTCTTCCCAGCCCCTTGACGACCAGCCGCCGCTTCTTGTCGGATCTTTGCCTCGCCTACCACACGCCTCCCCGGCTCATCCTTGCTAACGCCGGTTTGAGCTCACGCGATATCCATACCCGCTACCTCTGCCTGCCTCCCTTCCTGCCCTCCCTTCCATCCGTACTTCTCCAGCGCACCGCAGCCCTTGATTTTGCCTATCCGAAAGCTCTCGAGCCTGTCTCGCGGCACCATGAACACCACCCTCACCTTCCATCCAGCTGCTGGGATGCCTAGCCCCGTGAGAGCCTCTGCGAAGAAAGCCAGCTTGAAAGAGTGGACGTCTGCCTCTGTCACCTGCACAAACTCTACTAACTTCCCGCGAGGCTCTACTATGATAGCGTCGTAGCCTCCTTGAAGGGGGTTGACGGGCTTCAAGCAAGTTCTCTCTGCAGGAAGCGTTTGCATGCCTCCCTTTGCATCAAAGGTGATGACTGGACATCCCTCCCATTGCGTGAGCTCTTGAGATCCCCGATACCTCAGGCTCAGCCCGCACTTGATCTTCTTGAAAAAGAAAAGCTCGAAAAGATGGCCCCTTGTAGTCGGATTGCTTGCCCCGTACCTTGAGAACAGCCTCTTCAGCGTGTCTAGTTCTGCCGCTTCTGCAAGCTTCGTCGCGACATACTTGCTCACAGGCATCCAGTTCAATTCCCCGTTGTACTTGAAGCACGCAATCAAGTGGTTTACCGCCTGCGGTGATGAGTCGCCCACGATGCCACTGAAGACGACTTCTAGGTTTGAACAGAAACTCAAAGCTTCATCCAGCCTCTCTTTCACCAATGATGCGGGCGTCTCGAACATGTACCGACATGAGCCGCCTGCCAGGTAGTATTTCAGCTTGATCTTCTCTCGTCTAGACCTGTTCCTCTTCCATGTCTTCAAGCCCATGCTCGCCGCACTTTCATCCTCCTCCAGCATGCATGCTACACGCTGATAGAAAACGTCCCACTCCACTGCTTCCAGGTACTCTCTCTCCGTCCAAGATACAACGGTGTGTTGTTGGAGATTCACCCGATTGTCATCTTCTAGTCGTGACTTTCCTCGAGAAGACATCGATGTCGCTACTACAACCCGTCGATTCTCTCGATCAGCTAGCAGCCATTTCCTACATGCGTCCAAAAAGTCTACGTGGTGTGACTCATGCCTCAAGAACCCGTCCAGGACCACCAAACCCTTCTTGTAGTCCTGCCATTCTTCCAGCATTCTGTTGATCCCTTCCCATGAGGAGCGCTTGGGAATCCTGCACCATCTCCTCCTACCACCGACGATTCGGATGCAATCAACGTCGTTGGATATATGCAGCCTGATGAGCGTTACGCTCCATTCCCTCATGTCAAGAGACAAGCAGAAGGCTAGCGTCGTCGTCGTCTTCCCCGTTCCCGGCGGGCCTTTGATCCAGCCAAAAGCTCGCTGCTCCACCACCTTCTCCCTCAAGAAGCAGAGCTGACTCTTGAAAGCTTCCCGGCAGTAGAGAAGGAGCTCTCCGTCTCTTTGTAGGTAGGATGCATCGAGACGAAAGTACTTGTCGTCGTTGCAAAAGCCCATCCGATCCAGTCTTGCATCTGACTCGTTCCAAGCAATCGGTGGCACATGGGGTCCGGTGCTCTGTCTCAAAAGGATAAGTTCTTTTTCTCCAAGCTGCTTCTTTTCTTCTCCAAGCTGCTTCTTGTCTTCTCCAAGTTGCTCGAGTCTCCTGACAAGGGCGGTCTTCATCGTGGGATCCTGTTCATATCTGATCTCATGCAGTACATCCTGGATGTTTTTTTCCACAAGCTTCATCTTCGCTTCTACCCCCTTGATATCTGCTTCCACAAGCTCGATCTCTCCTTCTACCTCAGTCTCGGCAGACTTCCTACTCACATTCATTCCAGAGTAGCACACCCGCCGCCTCTTGCTCGCCCCTTTGTTTCTTTCCTTGACTCCACTCGAGATATTACCTCGTCCTCCCTCCCTAGCATCCCCTCCTCGTATGCGCAAGCAGCTTCCCCCCAAAGCCATCCTCAGATTGTAGTCAGCACATCGCCCAGGACATGGAAATGACGCTCCCTGTTACAAGCACAGCTCAGAAAAACCTTCCCTCCAACCCTCAGGTCGCTCCTCACCACCGCGCTCGAGATGATGATGGAGCTCAAGCCTATCAAGCCTACAGCCCTGCCCATAGCCCTCGCTCCTCTCCCTCTTGCTTCTCTCTGCGGGCTGCGCATCTTGACCTCAGCAAGCGGCTCCTTGTCAGCCTTGCCGACCTGCTCTGCCATCCAGCGCACCCGCGAGGGGGTATTCGGTACTCGCTAGGGGTCGTCAGAGGGGGTAGGGTACTTGAGCCATCTCCGTATGGCGCGCCGCGAGGGTCGACGGAGGTTGTGGACTTGAAGCTGGGTAGCAACATGTATGTTACAAGTAGAGGAGAGACGAATGCTCGTATGATCAGAACGTGTAGCTGATGAGCGTGATACTTTTACTCTTCAGGTCCCTCATGCGTCATCGTTGATGGCTTTCATCGCTGACAAGATCATAGCATGGGCAAGAGCTGCTTGTTGCTAGACCTCAGCCATGGCGGAGTGAGATGGCGACGGGATGCAGCAGAGAGTCATGAGTCGCTCTTAGTTATCGAATGATGCAACGAGGAGACCCATGTAACCTGTAAGCTGCATGGTTGGACTCTGCACTCTTTAGTCCCGCATCTGATGTTGAGGGGCAGATGAAGACAGATGGTTGCAGTGTTGGATGATGACATGCAACGTTGTGGTCGTCGATGGTCCCCTCCTCACCATGAGGATGCAAATGTGATGGTTTGGTTGTGAAGATGATGGACTGGTTGAGGATTCAAATGTTATGGACCGGTATTGAAGATGATGGACCGGTTTTGAAGTTGCTACATCTGCTTCAACATTATGGGCAAGGAAGCGAGTAAAATGCTGCTTCAGGCTGCTGCCAAGCATTTGAGACTGAGCCCTCACACACACAATCACCTTGTTTTGAAGAAGAGTGAGACAGGTAAATAGGTCAAGGCAACCTTTTTGGACACTGCAGAAAGCTTCTTTCTTCATTACTTCACCTTGCTTCAACAAGGAGATCAGAGGAAATCGCATCGTGATGGCTTTTGAAAGTTGCACATGGCGATGGAAACACTTGGAAATCAAGTAAGCGCAAGTAGTTGTATGAGCGTATTACACGTTGCACTACCTCCCATCATGACACGGTTGATCAAGTACAACATGAAAGTGATCAACTAGGTTGCCTTTCAACCTCTACACACTACCCCTGCAAGTCTGTTCCACAGCATGTCGATCTCATCCTGCAGATATCAGCCTGATCGTCTTCCCAGCCCCTTGACGACCAGCCGCCGCTTCTTGTCGGATCTTTGCCTCGCCTACCACACGCCTCCCCGGCTCATCCTTGCTAACGCCGGTTTGAGCTCACGCGATATCCATACCCGCTACCTCTGCCTGCCTCCCTTCCTGCCCTCCCTTCCATCCGTACTTCTCCAGCGCACCGCAGCCCTTGATTTTGCCTATCCGAAAGCTCTCGAGCCTGTCTCGCGGCACTATGAACACCACCCTCACCTTCCATCCAGCTGCTGGGATGCCTAGCCCCGTGAGAGCCTCTGCGAAGAAAGCCAGCTTGAAAGAGTGGACGTCTGCCTCTGTCACCTGCACAAACTCTACTAACTTCCCGCGAGGCTCTACTATGATAGCGTCGTAGCCTCCTTGAAGGGGGTGACGGGCTTCAAGCAAGTTCTCTCTGCAGGAAGCGTTTGCATGCCTCCCTTTGCATCAAAGGTGATGACTGGACATCCCTCCCATTGCGTGAGCTCTTGAGATCCCCGATACCTCAGGCTCAGCCCGCACTTGATCTTCTTGAAAAAGAAAAGCTCGAAAAGATGGCCCCTTGTAGTCGGATTGCTTGCCCCGTACCTTGAGAACAGCCTCTTCAGCGTGTCTAGTTCTGCCGCTTCTGCAAGCTTCGTCGCGACATACTTGCTCACAGGCATCCAGTTCAATTCCCCGTTGTACTTGAAGCACGCAATCAAGTGGTTTACCGCCTGCGGTGATGAGTCGCCCACGATGCCACTGAAGACGACTTCTAGGTTTGAACAGAAACTCAAAGCTTCATCCAGCCTCTCTTTCACCAATGATGCGGGCGTCTCGAGCATGTACCGACATGAGCCGCCAGCCAGGTAGTATTTCAGCTTGATCTTCTCTCGTCTAGACCTGTTCCTCTTCCATGTCTTCAAGCCCATGCTCGCCGCACTTTCATCCTCCTCCAGCATGCATGCTACACGCTGATAGAAAACGTCCCACTCCACTGCTTCCAGGTACTCTCTCTCCGTCCAAGATACAACGGTGTGTTGTTGGAGATTCACCCGATTGTCATCTTCTAGTCGTGACTTTCCTCGAGAAGACATCGATGTCGCTACTACAACCCGTCGATTCTCTCGATCAGCTAGCAGCCATTTCCTACATGCGTCCAAAAAGTCTACGTGGTGTGACTCATGCCTCAAGAACCCGTCCAGGACCACCAAACCCTTCTTGTAGTCCTGCCATTCTTCCAGCATTCTGTTGATCCCTTCCCATGAGGAGCGCTTGGGAATCCTGCACCATCTCCTCCTACCACCGACGATTCGGATGCAATCAACGTCGTCGGATATATGCAGCCTGATGAGCGTTACGCTCCATTCCCTCATGTCAAGAGACAAGCAGAAGGCTAGCGTCGTCGTCGTCTTCCCCGTTCCCGGCGGGCCTTTGATCCAGCCAAAAGCTCGCTGCTCCACCACCTTCTCCCTCAAGAAGCAGAGCTGACTCTTGAAAGCTTCCCGGCAGTAGAGAAGGAGCTCTCCGTCTCTTTGTAGGTAGGATGCATCGAGACGAAAGTACTTGTCGTCGTTGCAAAAGCCCATCCGATCCAGTCTTGCATCTGACTCGTTCCAAGCAATCGGTGGCACATGGGGTCCGGTGCTCTGTCTCAAAAGGATAAGTTCTTTTTCTCCAAGCTGCTTCTTGTCTTCTCCAAGTTGCTCGAGTCTCCTGACAAGGGCGGTCTTCATCGTGGGATCCTGTTCATATCTGATCTCATGCAGTACATCCTGGATGTTTTTTTCCACAAGGTCCATCTTCGCTTCTACCCCCTTGATATCTGCTTCCACAAGCTCGATCTCTCCTTCTACCTCAGTCTCGGCAGACTGCCTACTCACATTCATTCCAGAGTAGCACACCCGCCGCCTCTTGCTCGCCCCTTTGTTTCTTTCCTTGACTCCACTCGAGATATTACCTCGTCCTCCCTCCCTAGCATCCCCTCCTCGTATGCGCAAGCAGCTTCCCCCCAAAGCCATCCTCAGATTGTAGTCAGCACATCGCCCAGGACATGGAAATGACGCTCCCTGTTACAAGCACAGCTCAGAAAAACCTTCCCTCCAACCCTCAGGTCGCTCCTCACCACCGCGCTCGAGATGATGATGGAGCTCAAGCCTATCAAGCCTACAGCCCTGCCCATAGCCCTCGCTCCTCTCCCTCTTGCTTCTCTCTGCGGGCTGCGCATCTTGACCTCAGCAAGCGGCTCCTTGTCAGCCTTGCCGACTCCTGCTCTGCCATCCAGCACACCCGCGAGGGGGTATTCGGTACTCGCTAGGGGTCGTCAGAGGGGGTAGGGTACTTGAGCCATGTATGTTACAAGTAGAGGAGAGACGAATGCTCGTATGATCAGAACGTGTAGCTGATGAGCGTGATACTTTTACTCTTCAGGTCCCTCATGCGTCATCGTTGATGGCTTTCATCGCTGACAAGATCATAGCATGGACAAGATCTGCTTGTCGCTAGACCTCAGCCATGGCGGAGTGAGATGGCGACGGGATGCAGCAGAGAGTCATGAGTCGCTCTTAGTTATCACATGATGCAACGAGGAGACCCATGTAACCTGTAAGCTGCATGGTTGGACTCTGCACTCTTTAGTCCCGCATCTGATGTTGAGGGGCAGATGAAGACAGATGGTTGCAGTGTTGGATGAGAGAGAAATGAGTCAGCGATAGTTTCCTGATGCTGGTCTTATGATGGCAGATAGCGAGACGCGAGAGGAGCCACGACCCCGCCAACTTCCAACAAATGGAAAACTAACTTCTTGTCGTCATTTTCGAACATAGTGCTACCCATTTCAACTGGACTTCTTGGCCAGAGGAGCCTCGCGAGATTACCTAGGGAGTTACTTAGGCTCTAACTCAACTGCTACCCCCAGGTGCTATTTGAGATCTACTGTCTACAGCTGACTGCAGGTGCTCTTGAGCTCGATTTCCACTTGAATCCAAGTACAGTTGGCGTCCACACCTAGTCTGAGGGTTCTTGGCAGGAATCATAACGGAACCGTTCCAGGTCTGGAGCTTCTCAGAGCAGTGCTTGCTGTGATTGGCTGACAGGTCACAGAGCAGAGGAACATTCCACTTCGAACAGTCGCCTCTAGAAGCGATACTAGCTGTTGCGAAGAGCTTGAAGCTACAGGGTAGCCTGTAGATGGATCGAAGATCAAGAGCCGCGGTGTTTTCGTTTGATCTGTACTGCCTGACTCTGTGAGCACTGTTGTCCTCCCAGCAAAAGAGTGCGGCTGTCGGAGCGACGAGACAGATGCAAGAGATGAAGAAAGAGAGAGCTTGAAACTCGTGGGGAGAGCTTATGGCTATCCAAGGGAACATGTCAACTGCAAGGAGACCATGAAACTGTGACCGTTGAAGAGCGAGGCCGCGGCCATGCCTGAGCCGTGATGCGGTACACTGCTTGAAGGCTGGAAAAGGAGTAGAGTAGCACCATCATGAGTCCAAGAGTCTGTTGCACCAACATGAAGTATGCAAAAGCTGGCCTATATAATTGTTGGATTTTGATCTGAACCATTACCTTTCATCTTCTTGAAGAACTTATCAATCGCCTTGTGTTTGTGGATGTAATTGTTCATCTTCAGGCGTGCAAACTTGTTTTGACAATTGTGTTCGAACAGGATCTCGCTTAGTCTCACCACGGTGTCGATGTTTCTTTCATAGTGATCCAACCGAGACGTTCTTGCTGACACTCGTGTCGTATCCTTTGATTCTTCTGTTATGCCTTGTCTCCGTTTTTCTTACTTGGCGTTATTCCGAGTAATATGAGACTCATCATAGTACTGCCTTCGAGTATATATTGCTTTTCCCGCCCTTTGAATATTGCAACAGACCAGATTGATCATCGGCATAATGTAGAATAAACCCCAAACGTCTACGCGAACAAATTGTTTGCGTATCTGAAAAATCGCAGCGATCGTGTATCGATCAGATATATCATGAATCTTCAGAACCGAAAAATGGTAATTGACAAGATTTGGCATGTGTAATTGCATCCATTTTTTTGGTTCAGAGTTTTTCTTGATTTTGTCACGGCCAATGACAAGTTGTAATGATTGTCCCATCCAATTATCTCTTTTTGTTCCCTTATGAAATCCATGACATCCTGTCTTTCGAGAACACGAGTTTTTGGTGGAAAGCTCCATCCGTTTACTGTATTCCGTATATCTTGTATCTCCTTTTCTGAAGAAATCCCATTGAGCTTTCCCCATTCCTTTATGTACCTAGTCTGTTTTTGTCCCATCGTATAGGATATATAATTTTGAAAGTTTGTTGCATATTGATCAGCAGAGTACAGTACTCGAATATCCCCTTCAAGGCTTTCCTGCGTTGTATGGGTTGATACTTGTTCCCTTTTTCTTGCCAAAACGTCTAAAATATCAAACTGAATTGCATTATTACCTTGCGTTTTTCACCCATCAAAAAACAGGTTGAAAGAAAACTTTCTCTCCACCATTGGTCTTGACCGTTTCTTCTTGTATCCCTTCTTCTTTTTCTTTGTCTGTCACCCTTCTAGTACGATTGTATATTTGATCAAACAGCCTTGTAATGTACGTATCATCACCTTGCCTTGAATCCTTCTCAAAACACCACAACAACAGATGATTGAAGATCAAACTACCTCGATGGCTTATTTTGCTTATGTGTTACATCAATCACATCGAGCATCTTTTGTTGTTTGAGATGTTTTTTCAAGCACATCTTGACCGTCGACAGTGAATCAGAACAAGATTTTTTTTTGGTTCCCTCTTTTGCTTTTTCCAATATTTGATCAGGCTGAACGCGGAAAGGAGGAGGGCGGGAAGGAGGAGGGCGGGAAGGAGGAGGGCGGGAAGGAGGAGGGCGGGAAGGAGGAGGGCGGGAAGGAGGAGGGCGGGAAGGAGGAGGGCGGGAAGGAGGGAAGATCTTTGTTGAGCACGTTCGGGGTGTGTTCTACACCGCGATGTCTGAGATTTTAATTTTTGGGTCACCATTGGTCACCGTTTATGCTGTTTTAATCGCAGAACTTACTGGGTGAGTTGAGCGGTTAATGTGAAAAGCTTGTAGTGTTTCACGGTTCACTAACTTCAACTTGAGTAAGTTTATGTACGGTAAGCTAGTTTATTAATACGTGGCATTCGCTGAAATCACTGCATGAGTCACACTGATATGAAGTATTAATTACATGTAGTGCCAAGGGATCGGATACAGATCTGCCTCACAGATTCCCTTTGCTGAATCAAAGCACTAGAATGTATCAGCTGAGTCAAAGGTATCAAGGATAAGAGCCAGCTAGATCTTGGCTTTGATTGTGCTTGCCTCCTGTTCTAGCGTGCTCACTGTCCTCCGTCGTCTCCTGCAGCTCCTCCGTTGCTGAGGGCTCGTGACTGGAGCCAACAAACCAGCGGATGAAGTCAGAGGAGAAGGGAGGAAGATCTTCGACTGATGAGGAATGTGTTTCCTTTCTCCCACTCTCCTGCTTTACCGTTGGTCCTCCTCCTCCCGGCAATTGAAGAGGGTTCAACAACGTTGCGTACGTCAGCTGCCCGTCCCGTAGCCTTGTTGCATCATCCTTGACGTACTGGTGCGTCGGGTTGGCTGGCCAGCTAGAGGCGCAGACTTGAGCATAATTCTGCGGCAGGAGAGAGGGCATCTGTGGCTGAGGCAGGTAAGAGGTTCTGTCGAACATGACCGTCGTCGGCAGCATCGAGTTGCTTCCTGACGACCTCGAAGCGCTGAGCGAGGCAGGGGAGGTGGCAGCAGGGGAGGACGGAGCTGCCTCAGTATCCTGGGACTCGCTTGGATCATCCATGGGCTTCTTCTTGTACGGCCACTCCGTGATGCCCAACCTCCTGCACGCATTCTTCAACGCAGTCACCGAGATGCCCTAGTGCAATGGCACGAGTCAGTCAAGAGCTTTCAGGGCCCAGGAGGCTCCTCACCAGCTGATTGGCTGCGTCAGGTTGACGGAGGTGAAACAAGCTTGACACGTCGGACTCTGATAGGAACACGGGCTTTGACCGAACCTCCTCCCCTTGCTTCCTCCGTGGGAAAATTTGAACCCTCGGATACATGGGGGAGTAGAGGAAGAGAGAGAGAGAGAGGCTGAGAGTATATACAAGACTGAACTAGAATAACAAAAAGACTTTTTGATGTGAGAGTAGATTCTCAAAGTAGACCACAAAACTGAGAAGAAGGATGCTGGAAGTTGTGGTTTCTTGACGCGTTTGACTGAATTCGGGCAGGCAAAAACAAAATCACAAACCTTTCTGTTGAGCAGGGAGCATGACAAGGTCCAAGGACTAGTTCATCCTAGGATGTTGATAGAGCTGCTCCTGCTGTTGCTCCCTCCCTCACTTTCCTCGCTCTCCCTCTCCTCCCCGCATCCACCGCTCTCGTCTCCTCGTTCGCCCGCACCCTGCCACATCACATTCTACCCCCCCACCTACAGTCTTCACCCTACCCTACTGACTTGTTCCCTGTATGGACCACCCACCCTTTGTACTTGAAATACACCCTACCTCGATAAGGTTTATCAGTAAAGCATGATCTCCACCCCCATTAAGCTGACCACCTACCCCGTTTTCGCGGTACTGAATGAACGATCCCGAACGATGGTTACCTGCACCTACCCCGCTTACACCTTTAGAACACCACCCCTCCCGATACCCCCCTGGCATGATACGACCCCCTACCCCCATTTCATCTGTATTTGACCCCAGGAAACATCTTAGAACCCTTTTGTGATTTAACTGAAGGGGGTAGTTTTGCAAGGGTACCCCCACCCCTACGACTGCTGAAATCTTGTAATTTCACTCCACGTCGATTCCCTGCGCCCCTCTTATTACGCTGTTTTAACACCACCCCACCCCACCTTGCTACACCTACCTGCATCAGCAAGATCGAAAAGGAAACATATCACAGTATATCATTATCTGAACCATCCTCTCTTGCACTTGTCACGGGTTGTTTGCTGACATGATAGATACAATTCGATGCCGTTGAGAGCCGTTACTCGAGAAAGGGTCAGAAAAGCGCCTCTCTGTTGGGAATCTCTTGTCACGAGTCACGGGCCAGTTGGTGACACTCACGGCGGGGCGCTCGGAGGGTCAAAACTGAAAAACTCAGCCTGTGACTCAGTCCGAATCACACAGTGACAGTCACGTGACAGTGAGAAGCCCCGGGCCCTCAGCAGTGACGGTGGGCCTTGAAGGCCGCTGGCCGGGCAGTAGTGTTATTTTTGATAGTAACCGTTACTCAGCAGTAGCCTTCCGAGGCTCAGAGTCACCGCGGTCCGGCCAGTGGCGGGCCGTACGTACAGTACAGTACCGGCGTACGCCCGGGCCCGGTACGGTACGGTACCGTACCGTACGGTACCGCGTGGTGCCAAACCGTACAGTGTACAGTGCAGGCTGATACAAGACCGTGCGGTCAGAGTACCGTACCGTGACGGCCGCCCGGCGGCGGCGACTCCCGTCTGGCCGGGCTTCTTGGCGCGCCGCCGCACTGGACTCAGCGGCTCGGACCGTCTGAGCCAGTGAGTTCCGGCCCGGGCCCGGTCCGGCGTGGCCGCCCGGCCGGCGGACGGTCCGACCGTGCGGACCGATCATGAGTCAAGCCTTGTAGTACCCGGCCAGCCTGCCGTTCACAAACCCATATGCAGCCCCTAGCAAATCTGGTCTTTTTTTTTCTACTTTTTTTGGGGTTCACATGGGGTCCGTATATACACTTCCTGTTGACTACCCCCTGAGTCACCGATCAGAGGGGGGGTAGAGAGACTGGACATAAGCGGGGTGGGGTGATTTGAATTACTCTGGCGTGGAACCCTTCCCCCGCCTTGGTTTTAGAGGTACTGCAATTTTAGTTTTACCCATCACACACATGATAGTATAGATTGTACTGTATGAAAACATATTGGTACAAAAGAGAGGTTTCATGGTACAGAAGTTCCCCCCTCCACCACCCTACCCCCTTTTTATCTCCTCACAGAGGATATTTGAATCCACAGAGAAATCCCTCAATGCTCACTGTTATGAATACTCACTGTTATGCGCATCCACCAGTCATTTATGTCGCATGACGTTTCTTCCTCAACAGCATCCCGTCACTGTGCGCCGGCTAGAGGAACGGGCTTCCTGGCAGTCTCCTCTCCATCAGGAGATTCTGTTCCTGGAGCCGCCCCGGGTGTTCGGCCTCTGCATACTAGAGCGGACAAGTACGTGCAGCCGGGGTGGGAGCTGGAGAACGCTATCAGGGATGCGACTAGGCTGGCACCAAGAGCTGAGGAGGCTAGTCGTCCTCTCAGTTCTACGCTGGCCATGGGATGAAGGCAGGAAGGGCCAAAGAAGACGACCTGATCCCCTGTGAGGTAGGGACGATGGAGACCGAGGAGGAGGTAGAGGACTACACTGTGACTCTCAGTCTGTTTCCTTGTTGTCATCGATGCCTGCAGATACCGGGAGGGTCTGCAGGAGACGGCCTTTCGCCGCCTGCTGTCTTTCGCCGCCTGCTGCTCCCGCAGCAGGCGGCGAAAGACGTCCTGCCTCGATCATTCAACTGCTGGTGCCTGACAGAGACAAACAGCTTCTTTGGGAGGAAGCTATTTCGGAATTGAAGAGAAGGAAGACGTCAAAGCACTTCCTTTCAAAATTAGGGGTGTTGCTTTCAAGTTAGTCAGATTAATCGGACAAGCGAGACTGCTGCAGTCTTTCTATTTGCACAGCATGATGTCAGGGCATGTGGGCGATCAATTTGTACATTTCTACGAGAAATATGGCATTCAACTAGCCTGACTATTGAACATGTCGTGCATCGAGCACCGACATCAACTTCAGGGAAGAGATGCATATCGAGCTGCTGCCATGATCGGGAACAGCTACATTGGACTCGGAGAAGAAGAAAACTGCTACTGCATCTAACGGGCAACTTGACCATGTGTGGGATATGCACTGTCCATGCGGTAGTCACTGATGGACCTTCACGCAATGCAGATGACAAGAAGAAATTCAACAATTCGGTTCGAGCACACTTCACTTTGTTGTGGCAGCTCCTTCAAAGTAAATTAATGTCTGAGTAAAGTCGCGTTCAATCTGGATGCCTCCAAATCTCTGTGTGAAACGTGCACAATCGTACCATTCTTTCGAACTTGTAAGAGATGCATGTGTATTGCGTCCTCTAATTTCGTTTCAAGGTGACTGTCAGTGCGCCCTCGAAATATAACGAACCTGATCCAGGTTCTATCATGTAGGGTTCATCCTTGAAAGGCACAGGAAATGACAGGATTCTGTAAGAGTGATGTACTGATGCTCCAACTGCACTGGCCTTTTCATCCGGGGTTTCAAGAAGGGCTTCCCTCGTCTGCGAAACCAGTTAATAGTATACTGCCGTAGTCCTAATCTTGTGCAGATCGATGTTGAGACGGAAGAAATCAGTTTGTTTTCTAGTGTTAAAGAAGTTGACATTCTTCCTTTCCGATTTCGGATGATTCCACTTCGAAATTTCCCATTGACATCAGTAAACCTCACACCATGACATGGTACCAGATTGAATGACATGTCTAAACCTTCAACATGGTGTAGTAATTCAAAGTGCACAGAATGATCGAAGGCATTTGCTGCAAGGAACAACGGTGCCTCTTGGATGTATCTCATGCGAATGAAGAGGATCAACTTGTTCTCTTGCTCCAATCTCCTCCTTTTGGCAATACCGAGCGATGAGGCAGCCCTTGACGACGGTGGCCGCCCCGATTGCGCCGCCATTGTCCGTCAAGGCAAGGAGGATTGCAACTGGTACTGAAAGTAGTACCATAGGGTATGTGTTGGTACCGTACTGTAACTACCGTTAAAATAACTTGTAAAGAGGATTGTTGAAATAAACTAAAACAAATGGGTACTATGAAGTGGGGCCTCTAACTCGTTTATCCGAGTCAAAATAGCACGCCTAGAAAAAAAAAAGACCCTACCGAAAAATTTAATTAAGTGCCAAATTAACGAAAGGCCTGAAAGTGAACGGCATGTACGATCTTGAAACTGATGAGCCTGGCAGTCACCGGCGGTCCGAGTGGCAAGCAACCCGGCGTAGATCCGCAACTTGCGGGGCAGTGAAAGAGAATTAGGAAAGGAATTAGCCCAACCTGTTCCCGAGTTGTGACCCACCACCCACCCTCACAATAACATCCAACTAAAGGGGAGAAAGTGGGTAGAGGGTAGTATTCACTGCAGGGGGTGGAATGAAGGATCGCAACGAGAGGAGGGAAGAGAAGGAGAACGAGAGGAAGGGAGAGGGAGAGGGAGAGGAAGGGAGTGGGGAGATGAAATGGTATGGTGAGATGAGATGAGATGAGACGAGGTGAGATGAGATGAGATGAGATGAGATGAGATGAGATGAGATGAGATGAGACGAGATGAGATGAGATGAGATGAGACGAGACGAGGTGAGATGGGATGGGATGAGATGAGATGAGATGAGATGAGATGAGATGGGATGGGAAGAGATGAGATGAGACGAGACGAGACGAGACGAGATGAGATGAGATGAGATGAGATGAGGTGAGATGGGATGGGATGAGATGAGACGAGATGAGGTGAGGTGAGAAGAGATGAGACGAGATGAGATGAGGTGAGATGGGATGAGATGAGATGAGATGAGATGAGATGAGATGAGATGCGATAAAGAAACGGATTGACCGATTAGGAAACCGAATGGTGAAAACGATTGACTGATGAGGAAGAGCATAGTGATCCGAGCGCGATGGAGTAGTAAGTTGATGAGAGAAAAAGTAGTTTCGAGAGGCATCCATGAGGTTTGCAAGGTTTGCAGGGAACAGCTGAAACATCATAGAAATTGAATTGAAGCAGAGGAGAGGAGGAGTATTTTCAGAAGGTGCACTGCGAAAGGCAAAACTCGATGTGTTGCATAAGAGCATGCGAGGGGTTGTAAAGGACAGCAGCGATGGCGAGGAGAAATTATGGATATTTCATGTGTGTGTTTGTGTCTGATTGCAATCGCAGTGCATGGGATGCGGAGGCAACAAGGAGTCGAAACTTTTCTACGTGTCAGACAGGCAGCTGGTGTTGTGTTGTGCAAGTAGCAACGTGTAGCGACTCTGAGTTGGCAAGAAGGGGCAGTCCCAGTCGGAAGGGAGGAGGGGATAACAGCACTGCAAGTCAGCCATTGCGGTCAGGAATAGCCGGCGCAGTAGGGCATGCCATTGAACAAACGACTGAAGCGGGAGATACCTGCTGAATGGCAGGACTACTGTTTCCCATACAAGGTATCAATGCGCTTGATGGGCTGGTTTTGCATGTTTGACCTTGTTTGTTGTAGGCTCTGCAACGGAAAGCTGAGGAGCTTGTTGGAGAAGCAAACGTAGAGGTGCCGAGCTCAGTCTTATTCTGCAAAGAATGATGAAACATTTTTTCAGGATGAAGCTGTTTTGAAGAATCAAATCAATTGTGCAGTGGAATGTGCCAACACTTTCTACAAGCTGCAGTTGATCAAGGTCTCGTTGTTCATGCTTGTTGTCTCAATGCAGTTTCGATGCCTCATCAACACTTGCACGTTGCTCCTTTCTATCATGATGGATTGTCTTGTCAGATCTCGGAGGAGTTTTCCTCGTTGCGAGACACGATCGGCACACTCTACGATCTTCACAGTGATCTAGAGCTCAAGAAGTCGATCGAGATGCCAGTCAAGCATCACGGTCTCATCTCGTCTCTTCTTCTTCTCCCCACCCTTCTATTCCCTTATCCTCTCCTGTCCTCCTATCCTCTCCACTCCACTCCTCTCCCCCCCCTCTCCCAACCCCTTGTCTACCCTGCCCTCTCCTGCCCTGCCCATTCCCTCCCCTGTCCACTCCTCTCCTCTTCTCTGCTGACCTCGAGCTTCAGTTGCGCACAGCGACGTCTGTTGTGACGACTGTCATCCAACGAGGAGCGAGAAAGCCCGCGGAAAAGTCCTTGGAAGGGTACTAGCAGGAGAGGACTCAACTCGCCTGCTGCGATCAGTCTTTAACGCCTGGTATTGGGCCCCACATGAGAGGATGGAGTCGAGAAATACGCTGGGAGACTTCATAGGGTCATCGTACTTGTTCAAAGTGCAGGTCAGTTGACAAGCACGATTCTTGTGTGTTGGAGATGGATAAGGAGGAGGATGAAAATGTCATGGTTTTTGTTGTTGTTGTTGTTGTTGTTGTTGTTGTTGTTTTGTTGTTGTTGTTGTTGTGGTGGTGGTGGTGGTGGTGGTGACGATTGTCATGATCTTGATGATTTTTAACCATCACGACATGTATTGTAATCTAGACAAGGAAGAAAATGCCACTGAACATGGTGAATTCTTCATTGACTTTTTTTCGTTCTCAATCGGCAGGAGGGAGTTTTGAAGGGAGTGCTCGAGGTCTGTCTTGCCAACATGTTGCAATCTATCGACGTTTCATGCAGAGATGGTTGTGTTTGTTGTCGCAGATCGACTGTCTCCGATCCTTCTCTCTCCTCAACGCCATTGCGATCAAGAAGGTGAGGAGCAGGACAGGATGGGACGAGAGGGAAGGAGGAGGGAAGAGAAGAGAGTTCAGCGACGAGTGAGTAAGAGGGAGGACAGCAAAAAAAGGAGAGGGGGGAAGGGGAAGAGAGCGGGAGGAGAGGGGAAGGAGGGGAGGGGAGGGAGGAGAGGGGAGGGAGGAAGGAAGGTAACAATGAGTTGAGGTTTGACGAGAGAATGTAGGTGCTTGAGCGACATTGCACTCAGAACATCAACGATATATGTTGCAACCTTAACGATTGTCAGATCATCGAGATGAAGGGACTTTCAGACGTGATCTGCCCTGATGTTCCTGCTGTGTGCGACTCTGACTGCTGATGTTGAAGATCATCGCAAACATGGAGCATCTCGTTGTTGACCTCATTGTCTTGCTCGCTACAGACCTTGAGGTTCCTTCCTTAGCTCGCAACATGCCTGATGCTAGCATGACCTGCTGCTGCTGGTGTTGCTGATGTTGATGTTGATGATGTTGATGTTGATGATGTTGATGATGTTGATGATGTTGATGTTGATGATGATGATGATGATGATGATGATGATGATGATGTTGTTGTTGATGATGATGTTGATGATGATGATGATGTTGTTGATGTTGATGTTGATGTTGCTGTTGCTGCTGGTGTTTCTGCTGCTGCTGCTGCTGCTGCTGCTGCTGTTGCTGCTGCTCTCCTCCTTCTCACCTCTCAGTATTTCCTCCTCACTGTCTTTGCAGGTCAAGCAAGCGCTCCCAGAAACCTGGACTCAAACGCTCTGCCCCTACTGCAACCATGCTGTCCTCAACCCCATCCTCCTCCCCGGTGGCTGTGGAGGACGAAAAGCGTGTTGGCTCTGCCTGCTGCAGCGTTCCAACTGCTGCCTCGTCCCTTGTCCCCACACCTCAAGGTATGAAGCGAGCAGAAGGGGAAGAGGAAAGGGAGGGGGAAGGCGAGGAGCGAGAAAGAAGAGGGCAGGAGATGTGGAGTCTTGTTGGGAGGAGGAGGAGGAGGAGAGAAGGAGAGGAGAGGAGGAGGCAAACGAAGAAGGAGCAGGGAGGGGCTGGGAGTAGCAGGGAGGTGTGGCCGGAGGACGAGAGAACTATCTGTGCTGAATCTTGATCCAGCAAGGAGATTGACCTTCGACTTATCCACGTTGACGGGATGCTCGGGAATTTCCTCCAATGTTTCTTTCCCAACGTTCTTGTTGCGCTGAAGATGAAAGAGAGGAAGGAGGAGGAGGAAAAGAAAGATGCGCATGATGCTCAAGGAGGTGAGACAGAGGAAGCAGGGAGGAGGAGCAGGGAGGAGGAGCAGGGAGGAGGAGGGAGGAGGAGGAAAGGGAGTGGAGAGCACAGGAGCAGGAGGAGACGGAAAGCATGGAGGAGAAAAGTTGAGGGCAAGGGAGAGAAGAGAGGAAATGTAGGAGGGGACAGGAGAGGAGACAAGAGGAGAGTGGGGAGGGGAGGTGAAGGGGGGGGGATGCAAGACTCAAGAGAGGAGAGGGTGAACAGTAGGAGAAGAGGAAGGGGATTGTGAAACAGCAGGCGTGAGAGGAGGAGGAGGACAGGGGCAGGATGTCAGGACATGTTGTGACGGAGTTAGCAGGGATCCTCTCGGTACTCCACTCGTTGTCTCATGCTCAGACGTCGCTCTCCTCCTCCTCCTCGCACGATCGTCTCCATGAGCACGAGCACCAGGTCAAGCGCAGCCACTCGAAGAACGCCCACCTGGACGAGCATCACTTCCGACAATCTCTGGTGAGAGAGGGGAGAGGAGAAGAGGGATCTTGTTCTGGGATGTGGGAAGGAAGATGTTTGGACAACGATGGTGGTGGTGGTGGTGGTAGTAGTAGTGGTAGTGATGGTGATGGTGATGATGATAATGATGGAGATGAGGATGAGGATGATGACGATGATGATGGTGGTGATCGTGATGGAGGTGATGATGATGGTTTAGAACAGTTTTCTTACAAGCCATGCAGGATGATACAGTTGAGCATGTACTTGAGAGCATGAGCGAAGTTGCGCTCGAGATTTCAAACTTCAAGGTCCCTCGATGCTCCTCCTCCTCCTCCTCTGCCTTCTTTTCCCTCGCTCTCCTCCTCGCTCTCCCTCGCTCTACGCTCCTCCCTCCCTCCCTCCTCTCCTCCTCCCTGCTACTTCTCCCTCTCTTTTCATTCTCCTTTCGTCTTTGACTTCCCTTGCAGGGGAGATAGCTAGTGGCGAGCTGATAGAGCTTGAGATGGACATCGGGAAAGTCGGATGAAGAGAGGGAGAGAGCTAGGAGCAGGTGGGAAGGGAAGGGAAGGGACAAGACGGAGGAAGGAGGGACAGGAGCAGGGAGGGGGGGGAAGGAGGGTGGTGGGTTGAGGAGGAAGGGTTGG